TTCCGCGTCACATAGATAACATTTTTACAGCTGCTACTACATAGTTCGTTAAAAAAATCAAATTAAAAGGCCGTCGGCACTCCAAATTTCCGGGTACATTGCCAGCTCATAGGAAATGCGGAGGGTTTAACTAAAAGGTGTTTTTTTCTAGCTTGCTGCCTCAAGTCGCCATCATCATCCCCTTACAGCGCGTAAGCAAAGAAGTGCTCGCGCAGGATATACGCCGCGCCACACATCATGCAGCCTAGAACTCATTAAGCGTAGTGCAACCAAACGAAGCTTTCCAGACTCAGCACTGTGATCTCCAGAGAGCCAATGAGAGGCGTAGGATCAGATGCCAACGTCAACTCACTCAAGCAGCGCGGCGCATCGCAGTTAAAGAAATTATTTAGCAGCAAAAAGGCGCCAGCAGATCCGCCTAGCTTGACTACTCAACATGACTACGCCGATCGCCACTTTTCAGATTCCTTCAGTGACCTGCTACAAACCGAAGGTCCTCAAGTCAGATGATTTCAGTAAGCTTAGCAAGGAGGGTCAACGCCAGCTCTCCTTCTATCCAACCTACATGGAGGTCTGTGAGGTGAAGAAGGGCAAACCTAAGGTGATCCGTATGATTAAGCTCGGCGATGTAACGGATGTGACAACGGATGAGGCACGGGACGGCGTGCTGCGAGTGTTTGCCAACAGGAAGGGCAAAATTGAGTGTCACCAGATGATCATCCCCGACGATGCAGACTTTCACCAGGCCCGAGCCTACTTTGACAGAAATGCTGCCGCTGGATCAATAGTCAGTCCTTTTCCGTCGGAGGCGATTCAATCCATACGCCGGTCATCACAGGCTCAGTCAGAAAAATCAACCTCGAAGAGACCAGCCTCATCTGTCACGAGAAAACCTCGAAAGGGTCACGAGTCCGTTGTTTTCGAAGACCAGGACAGTGACGAACCGAGCCAGGAACCGTCGGCCAGGAAGAAACAATCCAAGGCCCGCAGTACTGCGGCTTCCGAAGACCTGTACAGCGACGGACGGAGCCACGAGCCATCCGTCAGGAAGAAACCTCTCCAAGGGCGCGGTTTCACTGCTTCCGAGGACCTGGATAGTGATGAAGCGACACTTGAGCCACCTCTCAGTAGGAAGCCCCCTAAAGGGCGCAGTATTGCAGCTTCCGAAGACCTGTACAGCGACGGACGGAGCCACGATCCATCCATTAGGAAGAAACCTCCCCAAGGGCGCGGCTTCACTGCTTCCGAGGATCTGGACAGTGATGAACCAGGTTATGAGCCCTCCGTCACAAAGAAACAGCCTAAAGAGCGTGGTTCCACTGCTTCTAAAGCTGCGGACGGTTACAAACCAAGATATGCGTCGAAAAAACCCCCCAAAGGGCG